GAGAGGCAATTAGTGTGGCTGGAAGGCCCCTCAGCCCCACAGACGGGGCTCTTAAAAATATTAAAAACCAAAAATACCGAAATACCAACAAGCCACGTCTGACCGCATCAAAGCGCACTACGGTGCGTATGAGCAATATGCGAAAGAGGGAGCACTTTATGCCAAATATAGTTCCTTTTTTGAGCCACACACACCTCCCAATGTTTTCCTTGCCCGCATGAAACAGAGCTGCTTGGCTGTTAGTTTTTTGGTCCTGCTTCCAGGATCTGCTCCCGGATCTGATGCACATGGCAGTGGGAGGAGCTCTAGACACGTATGGATGGGCATGCATACATACATCTGCCATAAAGTAATTCAGTGTTGTTCCAATAAAGTGCTTCATAAATATTTATTGGATTATCGAACGTATCGAACGGACACACACACGGCACTCTTGTCTGAAGAAGCGAACGCACATTGCTCCATTGCCATAATGAATATGAAGCAATGAACATTGCAATAAGCGCACGTATGAATAAATGAGAGCACAGCGGAGCAGAGCAGAAGGAAAGGGAGCGGAGAAAGGGAGCGGTGAAAGCGGAGAAAGCAGGAAGCGGAAAGCAGGAAGAGGAACCAAAGAAGTTTCCCATCTGAATGGGAATGAATGAGTGCTTACGGCAAATAAACTAATAGTTCAAGTGCCTTCATCTGCGGACTTTTCGTAATTTAATAAACCTCTCATTCCCCCATTCACAGCGATCCATTGATGGATATATAAATACCATAAATTTATTCATCGACGTTTAATTAACTAACACGCTTGGTCCGCTAATTGCATAATCAATTAACACATTTGATACTTTAATTATACACGACCGTCGGCAGCGGTGGCAGCAGGAACACTGCCTGTAATTAAAAGCGGATTAAATCCATAATCTCTGAAATTAAAGCCTCGTTAAAGTCACGAAACGAAACGAAAACGACCCTGCGTTATGGAATTTTCACTGGCAGAGTGGCGCCAAAAATTGGTATTTATTATTTATTCTGACATTTACATCAACAATCGGAATCAGGCGAGCAAACATGGCTGCCAAGGAAAAAAAAGACCTCCTAGAGCCTTGCAGGTATTTAGGGTGCTTGCATATTTTATGGCCTGTCATTGTTTATATTGTTCAAATCTCTCGCCCCATGTGTGCCAGCCTGAGAATTCCTCAAGGCAACTTCATTTGCACATTTTACAGAAACATCGAGGCGTGTAATTCAAGGGTTGACTCGCATCCGAATCCGAATCAGAATCCTACTTCTCCGGCTGCACTGCTGGCAAAAAGTCAACCGAAGGCTGTTGAAAGTGCCTGGCATCGAGGCAGACTTATACTTCGAATATCGTAATGTATTCATATGAAATGACAACTGACAAGAGAGCCAGACAAATGGAAAATCTCACTTTTTCCCCCGCACAAATCCCACCATCACCATTCTGGGCTCCAACTGACAGGGCCAGACGAAGGACGGCCAATACTAATCACACATAAATCAAAAAATGACATAAAGTGTACCAACAGCAGCTGGCTCGGTGATGGTGATCTGGCTGTCAGGCAGCTGGCACATGGCAAACTGCCGACATGTAACACGGAATCAAATCGAATTGAATTGAACTGAACTCTCAACTCGACTCGGCTAAAATCGGAGTGCAAATAGGGGAACGCAGGAAAGTAGGCAACGATGGGAAAGAGTTCTCTATGCCATGGATTGCATGTGGGTACCAAAGCTTTGTAAAGCCGATTGCACTTGGCATATGGTAAAATCTCAGGCGGCGGCGGTAGACGGCATCCTGCAGCCCATGTATTATTAATTACAAATTACAGGCAAAGTACATTAAACATGCATTGTCAACTCCCCCGGGCAAACAAAACCCCCTCGATTATACTGAAAGCGATGCAGGGAACGATAAAAAAAAAACGGAAAAATACCTGTCCCACCAGCATATCGGGGAGCTAACACAATGCCATTGTAATATCGATTACAAAGCCCTCGAAAAGCAACGCCCCAAACTACATATTAGCCTGCGCGGGCAACACTGCGTATGCGTATTAATAAGTGGGGGGGGGGGGGGTGCTCATATGATACATATATGTGTGTCTGCGTACCCCCACCTCGCATAATTGCTGTCATGAAACTCGTTATAATACACCTTCTGCGGCGTAGTTTGAGCTGGCATTTTGTCAGCTTATGAATCCACTCCATTTCACCTCATTTCACCCGATTTTCGACCCCTTCACAAACAGTGATTGATTCCCTTTGGCCGGCCGGTGAGTAATTGTTGTTGATTTAATAATTTATTGCGGTGGCAATTATTTAAACCGTTCATCGACCATCGACAAGCCATGACATCAGACCTCCTCGAATAGAAATCGTAAACATTTCGATCGAGGACGAGCGGTGCAAATGGCAAATCCCCTTCGCAGCGACACATTTGCATAAGCAAATCTGATGCCACATGCAAAAAGGGCAGGAAGGTTGCAGGTTACAAAGGCAAATAGGAAATAGAAAGTAGAAAGTGGAAAGTGGAAGCCAGAGCCGGGCACACGTGTATGTCAAAGCGAATGAGTTGAAAAGCTGCATTAAACAACACTTAGATGTGGCCAAAAGAAAGGAGCGATGTGGCTGTGAGTGTGGGTGCAGCGGTGGAAATGATTCATGATTCGGGCGCGGACAGCGGGGAATTCAAAGTGAATGGAGCCCGCGACGAACAAAGGCAATGGATCGCTGGGCGGAAGGTGGGGGAGTGTTGCAGCAAAACAAATATTGTTAAAGTTGCTCGACAAGCAGCTGCTGCTATTGCTACTGCACACGGAAAAATTATTCACCTTAAACTGATTATTTACTGGAAGAAAAACGTTTGAGTTCCAAAGAAATCATACATTTTTAGTTAATTTAAGATAATAAAACTCTTTATAAAAAATAAAATTAACCTGCGTGGAAACGAGTTTTGAAAACTAGTCTTTCGGCATTAATTAATTTATATTTTAGCTACATCTTCAATAATACTGACAATTAAATACAATTCTCAACAAAAATCTTATAATTTCTAAGCAACTTTTTAAAGTTATAAAATCGTAAAATAAAAAAAGATCTACTCAAAAAAATATACCAATGTGCTTCTTTAAAAGTTCCATTTAATAACGGATAGTTTCTTCAAAGGCATTAATAAATTTCCCCAATAAATAAATCTTGGAGTTTAAAAAAGAAAAAGATCACAACTATGTCAAATATTATGTATTCTCTAGACTCTTGAAAAATAAAATATAATAAGTTTTTACATAAATCTTTTTATCACTTGACTTGAATATAAACCACTAAACGATCTACGCTTTTCGCTGTGTAAGTAGAAAAAACTGCGCGCAGGTAACAAGCAAAACACAAGCACACAAAAGGTAGCCGGAATAAAAATACACACACAACACCGAGAAAAACTGCATAAAATGTCAAGGTAAAACTAACAAACTGGCTTAGGAGCGATTTAACGGAAACGGAAATGCCAGCGAGCGTTTAAAGCGCCGCCAACTTCGGACAGCTACATTTAAGATCCCTGAGAACTTCTGCTCGTCCTCTGCTTCTTCTTCGTCCGATAAGCAGTGGGGCCAAAGGAGAACAAAAAAACAAAACAGGGCTCTTGAATGGGCCGCTTAATTAGAGTGTAAACGGGCGACAGGCGCAAAGTTCAAATCGCTGCTCAAAAGTAATTAAAAAGTTGCAAATAAAACGCAAAGAATACGGCCAAATTACGCGATTGCAAAGGAACTTTGAGACAGTTGGCGGGCTAACGCTTTAAAAAGACAAAACCCTTTTTTTTCAACTTTAATTTTCGGATTACGAATGGGCGCGGTGAGACTAAACAATTGCAGCAATTTCAACTCCAACTCATTGAACAGCACTTGGAAAGTACGCCAACAATTTTACGCTTGGGCCTAACCAGAAATTCCTGGCCAGGACTGCCACTCCGCACTCGACTGGCTCAGTTGAATGCATTGCAACTATTTTGGGGGCACTCATTTTTCAGTTGAGTTGCCAGCGGAGTGAGTGCCACAGTTGCCCCATTTGGCTGTGGATGTTACGTATTTAGGCATAGTTTATAACCAGCTACTGGCAGACAAGGATAGGCAGGCGACATGGAGACATGGAGACATGTGCAGGGATCGCAACATTCTGGGCCTGTGTGCGCCAGGTAATCACGTCATTATCACGTGAAATTTCGGCATTAACGTGAATTTACGATTTGCACATGAGCACGAGCCAAGGAATGGAAGGCAAAACCAAAAAAAAAACCAAAATAACTACCTGGCGAAGCCAAGGTAGCGACGCACATAAACTCACATTAAATGCGATTGCCAATTTATTTACTAAGTGAACGCCACTGAGGCGCAGCAACGTCGCAGGTTTTTTCGGCTGTGGCACCAGGACTTTGTGGAGCCCAGCTGGCTGCCAGTAGCTACGGAAAGTTGGCTCAAATTTTAGAGCGGAAATAGTGCGGCAGGCGATGTGGCGTTGGGACGATGGGCCGATGGGGTTGTAATTGAACCCGCCACCCAAAAGTTGTTGTAGCGAATAAACCTGAGCCAAGAAATTCACACACACACAGCGAACGTTGGCAACTTTTTTGCATACAATTAACGAAAGTGGCGCACCTAGGTAAATAACATGAAATATTTGCTTTTTCGGAGCAGAGTGGATCGTTGGGGCGGCTTGTGGAGGGTTAAGGGTGAAGGCATGCGAGTGCTCAACCGCATTAACCCATTACCAGCATAAGCAGTAAGCAGTAAGCCGTGCGGCAGTAGCAGCTGCTGCTGCTGCTGCTCGGAGTTTTCCATGCCACTTTTCCTTTCCCTTTCGCCGGGCCATACAATTTTCCAACACATTTGCCAAATTAAATTATATACACTTTGGCCATAGTATGCAATGGCACAAATCTCGGGCGAAGAAAGCACACTCGACTGATTTTCTGATTTCGTTTGCTGACTGACACTTTATGATTTACAGCTCTAAGCTCCGATTTCACACGTTTCTTTGCGTTTCTGTGGCAATTTTATTTACTCGACGATCCTCGCACGCGGCACGCACACATGCCAGCCGTGCGCCATTGGCAATTCGTTGGCATTCGTATTTCCGCTTCCGCTCGAGTCGAATTCGCATCGAATTGAAGCCCCAAAAGCGGTCCGATTGAGTCGCACTGCCCGCTTGCCATTGGCCGCGCGTCCGTTCGTCACGAGTCTCAGTCGCAAACTGCTTGGCCCGCTGAAGTCCCCAGCCCTCGGGTCCATTCAACGCACGACGTTGGCCCAAAGGACTCGGCTGCGAGTGCTCGGCTCTGGGCCATCGGCTAGGCTCGTTCGTCGGGGGAAATGAGACAGAGAGAGAGAGAGAGTGTGTAGAGAAGCATTTGGCGCCAATTCCTGGCTCCTGTGGAGAGTGTGACTCTCAAACTGTAAGCCGCAAGAACTCGCATCGTAAGTTATGGGTAATTACACGTTACGTACTCTCTGTTTGCTTTTTTAGCAATCCAAAACTTTTCAAGCATTTATAAAAAATCACTGGAAGATCCCGATATAGGAGCAAGACATTTTTAAAGTGGATTCCGAGATGGACAAAGGCAAATAAGAACTTTTCATTTAAAAAAGCATTCAATGTTTTCATAAACCTTCCTTTGAACATAATATAAATAGTTCGCAAAGATACAAAATATTGTATGTCTAAGTACAGACTAACTTTATAAGTATTGCATTAAAATGTTTAAATTATTTATAAACTATAATAAGAACCGAACTTAAAGATTAATTTAACAGCTTCCAACTTCATACTATCTCCAGTAAGATATTAACACTTGCATAAGCATAATTTTAGCAAATGATAGCATACTTTATGGCTCAAGCAATTACTAATGGCAGCTGTGTGAGTTTATGAAGTAGCGGTAATATCAGCATCCATTGCCCACAAGCACTCACACACTCAAGCAAACACACACAGGTGGCCAAGTGGAGAGATTTCCAGCTGAGAGAACGAAAGAGAGGGACACACACACACAATCGCACTCACACTCAGATAGTTGGAGTTTCAGGTGGCCGTGCAATTATCCGTTTTTGTTTTGGTTGCACTTTCGCCGAGCAAAGCTCGCCGTGTTGGCCTAGGACTCTGCGTACGAGCCAAAAGCTCACGACTTGACACACAAACACACAAACGGATGGTTGGCAGCTGGAAACGACGGCAGACGATGGATGACGACGCGTGGAAGTGTCCAATAAAAATTACGTATACGCAGCGAGTGCCCGAAGCGGCGGCTCTGTGCCACGAAGCGTGCGGTAATTGGCAAAAAATAAAAGCACAAGGAAATAAGGTTAACCCTTTGACACCCCACTCCCGTCACCGGGGGTATATAGCAAAATAGTAGCCGAAAAAAATCTGAATTACCCAAAAGTTTCCTAAAATACTTTCTTAACGTACCATTTTTCATAAATTATAAATGTGTTCTGCACCAAGAGATATATTTGCATAAGCTTTTCTCAAAAATAAAATAAGAAACTATTTGAAATATATTAATTATATGCAATATATTGAATAAAATTTCATATAAAGCTTATAAATAATTCAGATACATATATTTAAAAAATAGTTTCATAAGGATGTTTGTCCCACTATGAATATGTTTTGATAAAAATTATTGTTCTGCTATTCCAGAAAATAATAGTATTCATGAGAACTAGTTCCAAAAATAGCATTTTGCTTTGTGTAAGCCCTGAAACAATGGCTCGAAATTGGCCTTCGGATTGACTGGGCCTCAAGAAATTGGCCCCGACGTCGGCACGGGCGGCATGTCAACATGTCGCCGAGGCTATAAATCTGTACAGGCCTTCGGATGGACTCCGAGAAACGCTCCACTGAACCGGTGGGTGGACTTCCCCAACCTGAATAGCTGCACGAACACCAGCCGGAGTATTTCTTCGGAGAGCACGTTGTAATTATCGCGTGAAATCAAAGCGATGCCGGACCCAATGCCCTGCCAAAACAATGAGTCCTGGCCGGTGTCCTGGCAACGAGGCTCCTCGAAGGCAACGAGGCTCCTTTGTGTGGTCGGACTTTTATGTTTGCCCGCAGTCGAGCTAAGCTGATTATTTCATTTCCATTGTGCTCGCCCACCGGCATAACTTAATTTTTATGGCACTTATGATATTTTAATCTAATGAAAGTGTAATTACATTGCCATTGCTAATTTATACTTAGTGCGTAGCGATTTATTTTACCTGCCGCACTGAGTTTCTCCTTTGATATAAATAATATTAATACGATTTAAAAATATGCTTAATTATTTTATTAAATAGAAGTAACTTACTTATAGTAGGGCTCAAATGCATATTACTCACTTTGAACCGTGGGGGACTATGTTTGGTATTGTGGTTGGGGCTTACCTGTAAAGAAAATAAGACGATGAAAATATTATTCATGCGGCGAGTGGGGGAAAAAACTGCTGCTGGCGGGAAATTTAAGAGGGTGTTTCCCCTCCAACATCAAAGCCAGCGAAATAACTAAATGTGAATCGATTGCCAGCAGAAATAAAACAAATTTACTTCACTTTTCGAAACAGAAAAAAAGGAAACCATGAACCAATGTGGCAGAGAAACAATGCAGGGGCACAGAGACAATCGTGTAGCGAGGGCTCCTGAGGTTGGAACACCTCCACACGTGCCCACAGTTGCAAATTGACTTGCTTTTGAAGTACAAAGCATTTGGCGTTGCCACCTGCAGCCCGTTGGCTAAACAACAACATGCCCAGCACAGCACAGAACAGAACAGCCCAGGATGGAATTGAATCCTCTGCGAAGGATACACATACACCACGGGCCAGCGGCTCAGGAGAAATGCGCGAACGAGGCAGAAGGACAAAGACGTGAGAATTGCTTATTTTGTGAAAATTAGAAAATATCACAAAACGCACAAAAACCCTCATACCACTTCATGCAAGCACTGAAAAAAACTTGGGAGGATGCAACACGGAAATAAAATTTCAGCCAAACTAAATCCTACTTTCATCTAAAAAACATCTTTCCAAACTCACAGATTTTCTTTTAAAGATGTCAACAATTGTATTAATCTTAAGCATGTATAGCAGATAATTATACAATAGTTTTTGACATTTAATACGATAATAGGCATTGCTTTCAATATATTTTTAAGAAACTAAAAAACCCCGAGTACTGGAAAAAAATTATTTTTAAGGTTCTTCATGCTATCTTAATAATTTCAAAACTCAATAAATAAAATTTGGGACTTCTTTGGGAAATTAAAGGGTAGGTAATAAAACACATTAAACTATAATATCTTATCCATAAATTTAGTTTATAGTAAAATCAATTTATCTATCGTGTAGCGAGGGCTATCATTTAATCAGCAAAGGCGTACTTTTAAATACCAATTTATGTTTCAAAGTATCCATAAAATGCTTTTTAAGTTTTAAGCAATCACTATCAAACTCTGGACTTTAATAAAAATAGAAAAATATTTTTATTTTAGTTCCCATATTTTCTCTCAGCGTAATGACACACATGGCAGCACGCAGTTATGTCTTGAAGAACGAGCAGGGATCTCCAGTCGTCCGTGTGACAGTTGCGAGCTACTTCAGCGGCTCCTTGGCTGCATCTTCATCTCGGTTTCGGTCTGCATCTCCATCTCCATCTCCATCTTCATCTCGAGATTCAGATTCAGAGCAGCACATAGCAGGGCAGAACCCTTTCTGGCTGTGTGTCAACATCACCGCGGTTTGTTGCCCTGCAGTCCATGCATAATTAGTAGCAATGGCAGCAGCCAGCTAGCCAGGCACTCGAAACCGCAACACGGAAGCAGCATGTTGCAAACAGAACAGGACTCTTGTCGCATCCATGTCAGCCAGGACAATTGCCGCTGTCACTCCGCCAGTTGATTGGAGTGAAAGTTAAAGTTGCGATCCTCTAAGTAATTGTTGCCTTGTTCTTGTTTCTTTTCTGGCTTTCCTTTGGAGCTCACCTCAACCCTTTTGCTTCATAAAACTCCCATTGAGAAATTGTTAATGTTTTTAGGCCCAAGAGCAGAACCAGCTCCGTAAAACGGATATACAAAGCAAATTGTGTGCATTAGCCGGGACCTGAGGGGGTGCGAATATGTCCTTCCAAATTGAACAATTTTCAATAAAGGCCCGCACAAGGCAGCCAGCCAGGCCGAAAGGTAACATTGGCCCAAATATATGTATGTACATTGGCCTATGTGTGTGCCTTGGTTACGGTCAAAGGACACGTATAATAGATTGCCAGTTAGTTGCCTCAAAAAGGACACACATTTCCACACAGAGGCGGCAAATAAGCCGAAAAGTTATCAGCCCTTAGACACCAAAGGTGTTGCTAGCACAAGCTATCGAAAAAATGCTGGGAAAGTTTAAATAGCCCTTTGACTGGGGGAAAATGAAGTGTTGTTGGAGCTGCCGGAGGGTAGTTATACGGACTGATTTCCCCTCTACAGCTCTATTCATGTGTTAATCCGCGTTTTCAATTAGCCAAAGTTGCCGCTGACTGAGCTCCACTTAGGCAACAAAACAAAACAGAGATGACTCAAAGGGAGTTCTGTTCTGGCATTCTTGAGATCCTTTAAGCTAACTGTATTCGAAAAGATACAGGTTAAAATGGGAAAAAGATTAAGCTTACAAAGGAAGTTTCTTCTAAAATATTTTAACAGAAGGTAGCCCTATTATTAACCTATTATTAATTTTAAAACCTTATATATTCCACTTACTGTAAGGTATTAAAAACTACAACTAGCCTACAAAATTAGCGTATTACAATGAACCCCTTTTCCAAGTAAAATATTAAATAAAATTTAAAAAATGTAGCAACTATAATAACTATAAGCTACTATAACTCTCTTTCAAAAGCCAAACTAGTAATATCTGTTTTTCTTTCTCACTGTAGCTTTAGTTTGTAATTTTAAGCTCACAGTAAGTAGAAAACCAACGTTTTTATGTGATTATTAAGTGTAATGAGAAAGAGGGTTTTAAAATCACCAAAACTGTAATCAACACGTTGCTGTGTGCAAGCTTAGGTGTCCTTTGAGTGCTTTCATTTCCTTTTAAGCTGCTGGATCCCCATTAAAAATGGCTAATTTTAGACAGTATTTTTGAATGCAGTCCGAAAACAGTGCAGGTCCCTAGCCAAAAGCTTTGGGATTGCGACGCGTTGTTAGCAAGGAAGGTGTC